CCAGTAAATAGTATATGCTACAGAATAAGAAATTGATTCGAACCGTGAAGTGAAATGAAACGAAGTGAATGAGAAAAAGTCATGAAGAGAACGGTATTCGCATGCAATAGCTATGAGAGTAAGTACAACACGTCCGAAAAGAATGAGAATTTATCTAAATCAGTTTGAAGTGAGCGTGTCAAAGACAATAGCGTTTCATGCAATCATAATCGATTGTAGTAATGAGCAACACAACGGTCTAGGACAGTGGTTCTCATAGCAAGTGAAATTACCCATTTTGGGGAATTTGGTGATGTCTGAGGGGGGGGGAAGGGTAACAGAGAATGTCGGGAAATTAGTATTTCTTGCAGTTGTCAGTTATGACAGAACGTCATTGTAATGATGTATTTTTGCTTTATTAGATCATTTAGCAATATAAAATCATTTTAAAAATTAACATGAGCCAGCAATGAAATCAAATTACAACGACCGAAAAATAGCCAAGCGACCACAGTAGATTTCAAAAATTGAGAGCAATCAACTGGCCATAGCCCACATTACACCCTCTCACTCACTTCTTATGTCATCATGATATCGCCCACAAACAACTCATAAATCTTTAGCTTTAACATATCAATTTATTAACGTTCCTACTCTATAAATGGTATGTGACGATAAGATCACTTACCAGATTGCTTCATTCCAGAGAACTTGCATCGATCTTATGGCGAGACGCAGAATTCTCGGCTGACAAATACGTGTTTGTGGTCGATCGTGCCCAGAGTAGGCATTTTGAGTTTTTGAAATGTTTGCTGAACATTTGCGGTAAAGAAGAGTTAGCGAACAAAATTGAGCACGTTTCGTTTGGTCGAGTCAAAGGATTATCAACAAGGTTTTATTCTCGAAATGATTCATTTGTATTTTATGAGAATCAAAGTGAAATGAAACGACGACGAGAGCTTTCAAAAATTCAGATAAATATCGTAAAAGGAAGTGGGAAACCCAATGAGCTAAAAATTTGCTGAGCTTTCGATTTGTTCTGATGAAAGGGATTGTCAATGCAGAATAGTATTCAAATAATCCAATATTTCTTCATTGAAAATGAAGTGTATGTTTGGAAACATAGGCTAAAGACCAGGAAATTCTGTTCCGATTTGAGCTGCGTGTTTATGCTTCAGTTAGCCATGATTTGCCGGTCAATTGAATCCACTTCAAAAGATAATCCAGAACCATTGTTGAGGAAGGGACGAACTGAAGCTGTTGATGAAATCATTCAGCACGGTTGCCATGATGCTGCGAAGTTCGTCCGAAATTCTCAAACAATAAAAATTGATGAATCCGAAATAGACGGTTAGTATCACATTATTAACACTTCATTTATTCAGTTCTTAATTGAGTTGGATGAGCACTTCGAAATGAATGGGCATAGAGAGCTGTGATAGGCTGACAGGTGTCTGCAAATAAGCTCATGTTCTCACCTTACATATATCAAGGCTGTTCCGATAAAAGATACACCAAAATATATCTCATTGTCCGTATTCATTATGATTATCACGATCATCATCCAATGTGATATAAAACATTCTGAGAGTTAACCCCAAGGATTGATTCATCCAGAAGCATCAAGTTAAGGGGATAATGAAATACTCATCATGAAGACGTTCTCAGAGACCAACGTAACATTCTTCTATCTTACTCACCTTACGTTACCTTTCATAAGTGATAATTGAATTGCACCAAAGTTTTGTTCGTGTCGTCGTCGTGGATATCTGTGCTGATATGATCTCACAGTTAGAATTACGTACATTCCATCAAAAAGATAAGAATTCAATTTTTAGATGTTGCGATGAATTTATCACTGTCAACTGTGATCGTGAACGATTTGAAACGTTCTCGTACCTCTGAATATGTGTTCACTTTCAAGAACGCATTCCGAATGAACAGTCAAGGAAATGCGTTGTTGTTACAGGTTCGTTCGTTCCATTTGAAATCAATTCACGATGCGATTGAATTTTGTATTCTGTACATCACTGAAGGAATCAAGATTTTTGATGGGGACTCTAGATTTCATTGGACGATTCATTTCATCAATATCTTTTGCAGACGAAACATAGTCGTTTGAGGTCGTTGGAAGAACGAAATGATGATTTGCTTCGTGAACTTGACAACCTCTCAAAAACCGACGATTCTTCTGGTCCTTGCGGAATTTCCAGTGGAATCGATAACTTTGATCTTGAGCTTGACTTGAATTCTTCGGCAGAAGCCGACCGTCTTGTCGCGCATTTATGGAAATTGGACGATGCTTTACTGAACAGTCTGCAAAAAGCTGACGCATGCCATTTGACTGTGTATCTGTTGAAGTTGGCAAATCTAACGGGCAGTGCCTCAGCTTCACTACGTGTTCTCGGTGAGGCAGACCATACACGAGCGTTGTCACGTTTACTTTTGTTATCAGCCTCAAGATCGGTACTGTCACAGGGAATGCAGTTGATCGGTGTGGAACCTCTTAAGAAAATGTGATCAGAGGCCTTGTTTCTTCCTTCTTCACTGGTGATTGTTGATTTACAACCGAAATGTTTGATCTAAATCTCACATTTCTTCCATCTTATTGTTAGATGTCTGCTTGATCATAGGTGATCACAGTCGGGAACGTTATTCAGTTCGTTTGGAAATGAGGTCGGCTTTTTCAAGAAGCTGAGAATCACACTGAAATTCAAGTGACGATATCGATAATCATCTGAACATGTAAAACTTCCGTTTTAAAATGTGAAAACCGCTATTGTTACTTTTAAATTGTAGTTTTGAAAGTACTGATGAAATAATAAAGATATTAGTATAAATTACATTATTCACTGAATTTCACAACTAGCATTTGTGTACTGTTAAAGTGAATAAAGACTGAATCAAACTCCTCTGTGTGAAGGAGTTGCTTTCTTTCTTTAGCCTTTTACATGCACATGCAGACATATGAATATATCTTCAATCCAGTAGGTTGGGTTATTTGCGCAATAATGAATGAAGTTATCAAATTTCCAAGGTGTCCTAGGTGCCTTCATTGATTTTAATGGAATCATTTCAAAATTTGGTTGATAATTCCATGTGAAAATTTCTCAAAACCCTCCCTTTCGGAAGCTGCCAAAGAATCCTGTGCTTCAATTTCGCTTTAACAACTTACCTTGCTTTCCTTACACCATGTTGAATTGTTATAAATATCCTATACACTGCTCTACTTACAATTAGTACTCTCCTTGGAAAGGAACAACAGCATAGCGCAATCGCTCGATCAACTACAACGCAAGGATTACCAATGAAAATTCATGCAATACTTTGTAATTGAGCGAAATTGCTCGACACACGTGGTTTTCTGAAACTATGTATGTTGTCCAGCGATTTTGCTAATATTATAAATGAAACTAAAACATCTAGAAAACTCGCTAGAGTACTGGTTTTTTGTTGGCTTCTCCGCCAGCTTAAAGTTATGATGAGTTTGAAAGTGGTATTTTATACCAATCTGTTGGTTGGGCAATATTCTAGAAGTGGATATATATTCATCCAAATCGTAGTCATATATCCGCACCATTACCCATTTCATGATGACGGCAAGGACAAAACTTTAATGATAATAATAATAATGGTGATGGTGAAACGAAAAGGTAGGCTAGATGAAATGATGTGTGAAATGTGTTTTCGTTGTACGATTCTGAGAATAACCAGATTAAAAATGGTTTTATGAGAACTTTTATGACGATTTTATTAGTAGGAGTCAGAATTATTCTTTTATTACTGCTCTTGGCATCGCTGATGTTTTCCATTTTTGATATTCATACAATTAGTATCGTTAGAGTATATTTGGCCAGAGTCAGAGTATGTTTAGTGTGCGATTCGTTTGGTGATATTTATGGGAAATCAAGGTCACTGGTGCTTCTTGCAGAAACGATTCTGATAATTTGCTTTGCTTGAGAAGTTCTGAGAATAAAAGCTGAAATAATAGTACTTGTTATTGATCTCGTTTATGTTATCATTTAAGATGTCCAGATTAATAATGTTGTGATGTCCAGATTAATGTCCAGATTTGATAAGGTCCAGATTAATAATAATTAT